TGTTTACAAATGCAACTCTTTATTGACTGTGAAAAATGAAAATACACATAAGCCATGACTCCCCATTTTACACTGTGGTCTCCTGCAACTCCCAGTTCATGAACTTGCAAATTTTGAAGCTGGAATATCCTAGGTTCCCAGCTCCTCCCATCTAAAACTAAGTAAAGCGGGTTTCTTTTGCTCACGACAAAGCCTGAACAGTATAAAACTGCTAGCAATTGACTACAGCCTCCACTAGAAGTGTGCTGAAAATCTGACTGCATGGGATAGTTGGAAAATGATGAACAACTTAGTTTGGTAACTTTGGTATTATTATTATTATACAGGATTTATATAGAGCCAACAGTTTGCACAGCACTTTACATTATAAGGAAGGCATTACAATCGCAATACAATTCAAGACAAGATGGCAAGGAGGGCCCTGCCCCTGAGGGCTTACAATTGGTAAGTGGATGTCTAACTTTAGTGGCAAACGTTTGCCTATAATAGCTATTCAAAGGGGATATCCACTTTTTTAATACCACCTTCCATACAACCTGAACTTCTTTTCTGTGTAGTACCTTTTGAAGGGCCCCCTCCTACCACCACTGTCTTGCAAACAACAATAGGTACTGAAATCAAAGCAGCAGTATAATAGCAATCTTAGACAGTCATTATAGCAACTTTAGCTACAATCTCTTAATCACCAGCAAGAATCTGCCTGAGTTCGATTCACTAAGGGCAGTCTCATGGTACAGGGTTTCAGGGAACAGTGTATGTGGTTTTAGGAAACAGTACTATTTTCAAGGGCAGTCTCATTGACAGTGTACACTGAAAGCACGTTGGCATGGGAATTGATTTTCTTTTACAGTTAACCCAACTTACATACAGCAATAACACCCTAATCTCATTAATTTAAGTTGGTAAAAAAAGTATTTTTTAAGGTAGCATTAGCAGTGACATATGCTTAGAGGTATGCTCTTACATGCTTAGAGGTACTGGCAGGAATTTAAAATGAAAAGACCACAGAGGATATATTATATACTATATATAGTAAAATTGGCTGCCAGCAGGATAATTTTAATAAGCAGCGCTAGCCCCAAAAGTACTAGAGACAAAGAGCACAGGCTCTGGGGTATTACTTCAAGAATGGATACAGCAGTGTACATGTTGCCAGCAGCAGGACAGTTTTAATCAGGAATACTTTTATTTTATGTAAGGGAGTAGTGAAGTGCAGTGATTGCGAGTGATATAATGATTTAATGAGAGGTTGTTTCGGTGCACACTGCTCTGGCAATTAGTATTTTTTTCTTTTTCATATGGTCAAAAGTGGGATTCTGCAAACAAAACACAGAGAACAGATGGTCAGTAACAAGTGAAGGCATCACTTTGAGTCCCCCAAGCTTATAGAAAGGCCCTATCAACATAAAATAAAAACTTAAAAAAAGAATTTAAAAAAAACAAACAAATATCATCCCTGAAACAAATGCCTATTTCTAACTGCCCTAAATCTCTCTGTGCCGCTTGTCAGCTTTCCCTATGCTTTCCCTACAACCGCTTCTAGTTCACTGACACTGTGGCTGATACTGTATGTGCCGTTCTCTTTAAAATGTGTTCTGGTTTAACAAAAACCTTCTTTACTTGACCCTAAGCCTGCTGGCCCTAGTTTGAAATCCATGCAGTACATTATGGTTCAAAAGAAATTATATCTGGTAAATGTGTAATTAAATTCCCTGGGACCGCTGAGACCAATAGTAGCAGTGATTCTGAACCTCATACCTATTTCATGTATATGTTAAACTAATGAAGCTTCAAGTAGATGCAAGATATTGTACATACCTGGAACAAACCTGCTTTGATATGATCAGTCTTGAATCCATCAGTTATTTTCTTTCCAAATGAGCCTTTCTGAAGCTATAAAAAATACTATCAGAGCTTGGCACTTACTTTACATGGTCCAGTTGTTAGATGCCCAAATCATTCACATCACCAGGAAGTGTCTATAATCATTAGCTCTCCTCATCTACACAGTAGGTAGCATAGCTTGTTTGCAAGCCAAATGTGTGTTTGTTTTCCCAGAAATTGTGTTTTGAATGGTTTCCCATTTACTGGCTTCAGTGAAGCAGTTTAAAAAAACAGTGACTTGCAAAAACTCACGTGACTCTCTTTCACACACTCTTGCTCTGTATGTTTCTAATTCATAGAGTATACAGCCTAGTAGTAGCACTGTGTGTAAATCAAGTAGCATCCATCCTAGCATATGTTTTATTGCCACAAAAGGGCAAAGTCTACATGAAAGGTAGTCAGCAGCATGGCCTCTAAATACAGCCTGGCAACAAATATATATGTGGCCAGTAACATGGCAGAGCTGCATTAAAGCTTAACTAAACTTAAAAACTAAAATGGAATGTATTGCAGCTTACTGGTCCGTAGATGTTTTCATTTTCTTTTTTTGTTCAGGCTTTTATTTTTACATGCTGATTCTGCCAGCAACACACTTTTAGTCCTAAGATGCCAATATGCACTTAAATTCTGTATCGGGACACAACAGAAACAAGATAGTTCTATGGAACTTTGTTCCTCTCCTATTCTCCATAACATAGACAGCCTTTGTTCTGCAGTCCCCAGAGATAGTGGAATTCAAATCAGCACAGAAAGAACGCATAGGAAGTTAGCAACTCAAAAGATTTTTTACAAGATCAACAAATAGGAAGCATCAAATAGATACAACAAAATGCTTTTAATGGTATATTTATTTACAAGCCGAAAAAGAAACACAAAAGAAAAGTTCATTGTTAGGTTTTACATACACTTTAAGAAGACATAGGCCCCTAGGTAGAATAGCAACATTGGGCCCTCCAAACTAAGTTCAACATGTACTAGATCCTCTACAATGTGTATTGCTCCCTTGTTCTCTGATTACAAACTCTTCTGCCTTCTGTATAACTTATATCCGGACTGATTGTTAGCTCTGTGATCCTTTGTATTGCTCCCTTAAAACCCATATTTATATCCAAACAAACGATAAAGCCTTCTATATTCTATATTGCTCCTTTTGATAATTTATATCAGGATTGTGTTATGTAAGAACTCCACTGTTATTTATATACCTGGTGCAGCAGTATTTGTTCTTTTAAAAGGTTTTTCTGTGTTTGTATATGTGCGTATAATGGTGTATGTACTGTACATACACATACAGTATATTTACTATTGGTGATGCCGACAGTGAATTGTGATTATGTCATAGCAATCTGTTATGTAATACTACTTGTACAATAGTAGCCAGAGTCAGGCAAAGTCAACAAGATAACATAAAAGATCTTGTTGCACTCCTTACCGGAATTCCCATAGGATTGGGGAGGATGCTTGTAACGACTGTGGATGGCACCGCTGTATGCATAGAATGATTGTTAAAAATGTCACCAACACACCGTAGGTCCTTTTTTGAATCACCAAATGTTCATTTTAATAAACAAATTGTCAATAGTTTAAACATAAAATTATTAACATTTGGTGATTCCAAAAAGGACCTACAGTGTGCTAAAGTCAACAAGATGTCCCTGTGCAAAAAAGTTTGCCTCCTGCAAAGAACGTGCGTTAATTGTCATAACAGCTGCTATTTTTAAGGAACAAAGGCCAATCACAGCTGAAAATAAGACTCTTAAAGGCAAATAACATATGCGGTATAGCTTTTCGCATTGAATCTTTAATGTAAGCTTTAACACTAAATTATGAGTTAATAAGGCTATTAATAATTACATGCCCAATTACTGAAAAAAACGTAATTCTACAACATAACAATATGTTTGTGAATTAAACACATTTAGGGGTAAGTTATACAATATAACACACAACAAAGTAAAAAATGACTCGTGAGAATATCAATAAAGCAGTGAATGTGACATTCACCAGTTATTCACAAAAAATGTCTAGTACCAATCATGTGCAGGCCCTTTTTAGAATAATGTGAAAAGTATTGCTTGAATAGTCACTTCACTGGATATTTAGGCCATCAATTTCTTCATGATGTATGTTATTACCGTTTCATGGTTCAAAATGTCTCTGATGTTTGAGTCACTCACAAAAAGAAAAAGTCTGGCCACACACCGCAAACATCTCTGAAGAATTTATTCTGGCACGCAGGTACACAACGGTCCGCCATGGATCCTCTCGTGTTTTATAGAAGAAATGCACCTTTGTAAAACAAATAAATAGAATTTTTGTCAAAATATCTCATTCATCCTATTAGCAACCCTAAATCTGTTCTGTAGAACACATACCTTCCATGAAGTGTCTGTAAGAATGTTCAAAGCAAATGTGCTGAAGGGAGGAAAAAGAGAATGGCCAAAGTGTTCCCAGTGTTATATGGAAGATGGTATCCATTTACATAGGATCCATGGATCTTGCACATTCTAGTGGTAGCCAAAGAAGCATATATATTTTTAGGTATGCTAGGGATGCCTCCTTTGAAGCAACTCTGTTTTACAAAAAGTCATATTTCTCCGGATAATTTTGTTGAGTAATTGAAGAAAATTTGAATTGGCGGGACACTAGGGGAACCCAGAAGAGCTTTCAATGGACAGCAATAAAAAGGAAAAAGTAAAGATATATTTGCAGAATTAATTTGCTTGGATACATTAAAAGGAGTCATTTTAAAATTGCACTTCTTTTGCAACACCTTTTGCTGTTTGGGATCAGGCTTGTTTCCATGTGCTGTTTAAATTAAAGATAACTTTAGTTTAGTGTAGAATTGCCCAGACTGACCCCCTTCCATGCTCTCAAGAATTATAGAAACAGACCACAGAAGCAGACCTCATTTCCTAGGAGTCATCTACTGTGTGTCTGCTTTGTGGCCACTGACCACAGAGAATAAAGTCCAGCCAATCCCTTTGCTTACCTGCTTTTTGTTAATATTGTCGATTTCACAGCAATATGTACGCATAACCGCTATGCTAAAAGTAACATTGACTTGTAATGTGGTTTTTTTTCATGCCTAATGCAAATCATGTTTCTTGCTGCAGATGACGATGATGACCAGGGAATGTTTTCGGCGACTGGTCAGGCACCGGAAAGATCATCTTCCACATATGACCCCCGAAACGTACCATCATCTAATTACACTGGTATACAGATTCCACCTGGGGCACATGCTCCTGCCAACACTCCAGCTGAACTTCCTCCCAGCACAGGTAGGCTATTCTGTTATATTATGGCCAGCTGAACCCTGTCCAAAGTGTCACCAAGGTGGTGTGAGACTGTGTATCTTGTTTGTTAACTGCATCGTGTGGTGGATTTATTAATACCAGAAAAAAGAAAATTAGCACACAAGTGGAGTTCTTGCACATAGCAACCAATCAGGACTCTTGTTTAATTTTTCTTTATATAGAACGGTGAAATATGATTGGTTTCTTTGGAGAACGATTCCATTTTTGTGCTGATTTTCTATTCTCCTTTTCTAATTAATTTAAGTTGAACGGTCTACTGTTATACTACTAGGTGTAATAATATATGAAAAAAATGTAGGTAATAATTGCTTGCAGCTCCCTTTCACCACTTGAAAATAATTGCTTGTTCACAGTAGTTTGGGTTCCATTTGTTAAAAATATCTTTGATAATTATTTTCAGTATAGCGATAATTTAAAGCAGTATTGAACCCTCTGAATTTTTTTGAATTGATTTGATTTTTTTTTTTTTTGATGTACTGTGTAATGTCAAGCATTACCTAGTACATTTTTAAAAATGTGCCCGAAAAATTAATTAGCCTACCTGCTCACCAGCAGCGGCTCCAGGTCCACATTGCTGCTTCTTTTAAACATCCGAGTAGCGAAGCGCGCTCCCTGTGCCCCTCATGTACAGGGACAGCACAGACTCCAGCTGCTGTCAATCAGCAGTGAGAGGGAGGAGCAGGGGAGTGGCTTGTCTCTGGGACCATAGGCTTCAATGGATACAGTCAAATATAGAGTCCCACCACACTCCTTACCGAGAAGTCCCATATAATGTGTGTGTGTGTGTGTGGGGGGGGGGGGGGGGGGGGGGGGCGCTGAAGTGGCTACGGATGGCGCCAGCAAATACTTGCAAAATAGAAAAAATGGTCACCAGCACTGCAAGTTTTCTTCAAAACGAAAACCCTTTATTCATTCTTGCAGGTCATATCACCATGCCTGGCAACATTTCAGAACCTGTCTGGTCCCTTCATCAGGCAAACAAAAGTTTTAACACTTTTGTTTGCCTGATGAAGGGACCGGACAGGTTCCGAAATGTTGCCAGACATGGTGATATGACCTGCAAGAATGAATAAAAGGATTTCCTTTTGAAGAAAACTTGGAGTGCTGGTGACCATTTTTTCTGTTTTGCATAGGCTTCAATGGACGCAAACACACGCATCCATTTATCCAGGCAAGAACGCGCATGCATAGGTGGCTCTGTTCGTCCCAGTAAAGGGAACAAAGCCACCCGAAGGCAAAATAGTAAGAGGGAATATTCTTCATATAAGGATTTGAAAGCAGCCACAGTGGCAAAATGGAAACGGACATGCAAGCAAGGTAGGTACTGGGGTCTACAGCACAATGTATATTGTTGTAGTTCAGGTTTAATATCACTTTAACATTTTGATCCCTTTTTTTTTTCTTCTGCACAAGTAAACATATTTTTAGAGAAATATGTGGGGTTGCCTTTGTTGACCCCTACTGAAAATATTAGTTGCCTAAATGTTATGTTTACCCTTCTAAACCCCCAAACATCAGTGCAGGTCAGTAAAGTCTTAAGTTCTTACCTGGATATTTTTTACCAGGTCATTGACTTAGAGTATCAGTATGACAGCAGGACAGCTAGCATGCCCCCATGCACGCTTGAGTGGGAGCATTTTTAGGTGATTTTTTAGCTTGTCTTTGCACTTGTTTTTAGGTTTTTAGCCAATGGAAAGTTGGTTACTGGGAAGAGTAAATGGTTTTTAGGCACAAACCTGCATGGAAAATGCACGTTCCATATGTGTTTCAAGCACTCCCCTTGAAATCTATGGGGTAAAAAATGCATGATTCTGCCCGAAAAGAATATTGTATACTTTTTTGAGCTTAAAGGTACAAGCAAGAATTATGTATTTTGTTATAGGTATATACAAAATTCATACAGATTTGTAAAGTTACTTATAGGTCTACTTTAAGCTAACATAGGTTTTTTCGTTGTTTTCATTGAAACATAATACAATAACATATAATAACCCATTTTCAGATAAAGGCGGACTAGTTGATGTCATAGCGTTTTTGAAAGATCGGTTTTATTTTGCTTTTTTAATGAGCAAGGTGTTTCCTTTCCTTACTCACTGTTTATACTTTGAATCATTTAGACACATTGCAATGATCCTTTCTACAATATTTTGATTCTTTATCTGAGGGAAATCCTTCTGATATCTACAAAGAATACTTAATGTACTAGTTCAGGTCATATTTATTTCACTTCCATTGTTAGTCAAGAGTGCCGCCCGAGTGCCTCTCTTATCATGCACGTAGTGCTACTGGCTGAATAGTGTAGGTAGACAAATGCTTAAGAGTTCATTTCAAAGTAAAATAGTAGTGCCAAATGTACCCAGATAGAGCCCTTTAACTCTAGAGAGAACCTTTCCTAATGGCACACTTTACTCTTTACTAAATGTAAGCTATCACTTTTAACACTCCTGTCTCACAACCTGCTGAGAGATACTGCCCCCTTTAATACTTAAAATAGTAACACATAAAAACCCAAAAACAGCATATAATCTTAACCTCTTTATGGCATCATAATGGATATATGGGGCAGCATGGTGGGTCGGCCTTCATGCTCTGCATCAGCATCTATCCGTTACAATGTTGTTCTGGGCTGCAGTCAATCTGCCACCCCATAACTGTGTTTGAACTGTCAAGCGACCACTCACGGTGAACAGACGATAAGAAGCTGGTAGGATGGGTTCCTAATTATGTCATCACTGTACAGCCAATTACAATGAAGGAATGAATGGGAGCCACTCCTACCTGCCTCTGACATCACAGCTCACTTAAAGGCCACATAGTCAGGAAATTTCAGAAGTCATTTTCAATATTTCAAATCTGCACCTTTCATCAAAATCATACCTGGTGATCCTGCCATTAGGGTCCTGTGGTCTAGGCACTTGCTATTTTAGGGTGACAGTGCTCTGTCCCTTTTGCCCACTTGAGCTATTGCATTGCTATTTTGTCATGTGGGCTTCTGAGATTACAAGTGGTTGTTTCAATACAGAATAGGCCCAGTTGGTCTACTATTGTCATTATTAGAAAACCCACTCTGTGAAAATTGCCGGACACCTGCATGTAGACAGGAAGTGGTTGCAAATAGGTGGCAGGACATCAGAGGCACTAAAGTGCCAAGCTGCAAAAAAAGGATGAACGTAAGGTGAAAATAAGGGTTTCAGAAAACATTATACACAGTTGTTTACTGTAAACTAAAGATCATTCAGTTAGAGTTTACATCAACCTAAACAAAGTACAAAGTGCTGAGGCATTGCTAATGCAAATATAGCTTTCTGGTACGCAGTGTCTGCGCTTCTCTTCTACTGTAACTACAGCTCGAGAAAAGGCTTATGTAAGAACTGCCTAATTATTCCACTTTAGTTTATACTGCACTGCAGAGCACAAATGCTCAACTCACTTAGCTGCAAGAGTCAATATTTGCTATAATGACTATTTTTAGCTGCAGAAGCATTACAGTTTAGTAAAAATGAAACTAAAGTAAAACTTAAAGTGATTTTGAAGTCAAATGTTATTTCAAATGCTGATTGTATCGCTTGCAATGGAGTTATAGCTCCCTGCAAATTCAGCTGGTCCCCTGAGAACTGGGTTGGCTCCTTTCCCTTGCAGGGTCCTATGAAGCCATCCTTGTGTGTGCTAGTAAGCTGTGTGTGTCTCCACAAACACACAGACACAGTAAGGCAAGTCACTCCTCTTTCCCCACTCCTCTCTTCTCCAAGCTAGTAGATGGACTGCTGCTGGAGACTGTACTGTCCTTTGTAATCTAGTATTTGAAGAGGTTCAGGGACGTTGAGCTCAGAGAGTTGGAGCCAGCTGTTTGGAAACAGGATGACTGTAAATGTTTGGGCAAACACTTAAGGAGATACTTTGCTGCACAATGTATTATTGTTGGATCTGCATTCATTGCTGCAAAAAAGTTTGAGAGTTCAATAATACCTGTAAGTTTGCAGTGCCATTAATGGTTTGTGGGTGAGAGCTATTCCAAGTCACTGACTTGTAGCTGTAAAGCTGGTCATGTCTGCAATTTTTTTCCTCCTGTTAGCTCACATTAAATCCCAGCTTGAATTACCCTAAAACGTTGCTTTTGGTGTAGCATCTTGTGTCAGGATAGTTTTATTTTGTGTTAGTAAATCCTCATATTAGTAGATTGTTTAAAGGAGAACTATGGGGTTAGGGCTTTTCCCCATAGTTCTCCTAAGGGTAACTGGGGGGACACAAACTAGCGTCCTCCCGTCACCCAAAGCTCAGTATACCGCGAGCTACAGCTCACGGTATACTGAGACGCCACAGCCGGGACGGATCCCGACATTACTATCGAGATCCACCCTGCTGCATGATTGACAGCTGGCTCTGCCTATCTAGAGGCAGAGCCAGCTGTACCTGCTCCCTCCGTTCCGCCAGTCAGCGCTGGAGGATCGGCAGGGGAGGGGGGAATCCCTGCAGAGAGCCGTGAGTGACAGTCACGGCTCTCTGCAGGGACAGGATCGAGAAGTGAGCGAGTGACGGTATGCGTTCGCTCACTTGCCGATCTATTGAGCCGACCTGTGACAGTTTTATTGTCACAGGTCGTCTAGCACTATGAGGCTGAGTGATTGGTATTTATCATGAGTATGTGAAAATCACACTTTTCAAAAGCTTTAATAAAACCATTTTAAAAAGAACACAGTACCTTGTTATAATAGTAAGTATGCCAGGCATACCCGTTCTATATGCTCCTGGAAGCACAAGGGTAGTTAAAGTGTATATAAAATAAAAACAGGGTTTTTTAGTTTTGGAGACAATGTGAAAGGATTACAACCTCTGTCAGGATTTAATTACTGTCCATGTCACCAGTGGGAACATTCCCCCTCTCTATTTGTTTTGATTACCTTTGTCACCTGGACAGGAAGGGATGTGAAATCTAAAATTTTCTATTTCTGAACTAAACAGGAGGCCAGATAATGGGGACACCTGTTCCAGTATCTAATGCTGGCCATACCCTAGTAGATTACATATTCCTCTGCCCATACTAAACAGCGATGATGGGGCCCTCTCTCTCTCAGAATATCTTAACAGCGGCTGCAGTCACTGTTTGGCCAACAATTTTCTACCTGGCTCCTTCTTTCCAGTTTTCACATTGAAGGATGTCAGGGGGGAAGATGTCAGCAGGACCATCCACTCAGTAGATCTGTTCCATATATAGCCAGCTTAGAAGGAAATGTCCCCTCAACTTGAAGAGATTTCCACCAACTTCTTGTTGAAAGTGAGGGCAAGTCTCACCAATGGGAGACAAACCTCACATATCAACCTGAAAGAAGTAAGTCGTCCCAGTACTTATCTAGAACTACCTATGTGGTGGAAATGAGGAGAGTGGGAGGGATTTTGTAGACTAGCAAAGGACAACTGGTAAAGATTGACACGATTTCTTGCAATTTCAGACGAGGCAAATTGTTGTCAGCCCACAACGCAATTATGAGCAGAGTGTATTTCTGGCAGATCATTAGGTAATTGTCTGCCCTCGCAGGATCTTTATAAAGAAATAAAACATGGGAAAATGTGCATGTATTGCAGAGGTTTTTGGGGTATTTTTCTCGTACTTACACTTTAAGACGTTGCGTTTTAAGTTCTAACATATGCCGTATTCCTATTTAGAGGGTTCATTTTACTTTAACTAAACAAGTTTCCATTTGAACTCACATGGCCTGTACACTGTGCCTTTCATAATCAGGTGTGTTTTGTTTCATGACAGTATCCTTTCCGTCAAAGGTCTCTTTTAAAACCAGTCATTCATACATATTATGTTACATTCAGGATGCAGGGATCACTTTATTACTCTTCAACTATAGGTAAATGCATTGAGACGTAAAGTTTTAGTTTTAGTTTCTAATTCACTTGTGTTATTAGATTTTTCAGGATATGGATACATTTATTATCTTGTAATTCCTCTGAACATTGCACAGTATATATACTGTAATTATTACTATCTGTTCTGTAATTTTACATTTTGGAATCCCTTTATGTGCTTTGAGATTATGGACTTGCTGTCCCGGAGCAATTTCCTAATTTGTGCTCGTACTTGATAAAATCTGAATTGTATTATTTGGCTAGAAAACAGCTTAATACCCGCAAACAATTACATATTTTCTGAAAGCGGAGGCCCTATAGAATGAAAAAAAAGTGTTAGTTGCAATTTTTTATGTCGCACAATATTTGCGCAAATGTTTATCAAACCAGTATTTTTAGGATTAAATACACTAAAATGCATTTCAGAGCACAGAAAAAGAATATAATACCAATTGCTAAGTAAAATGTAAAAGAAGGGGTTACATTGAGTAAATAGATACCAAAGATGTCAAGCGTTAAAATTTGGTACTCAACACTGTCCATGTGTGATGCTTTAAAAGCCTTTACTGCTCATCAGTGTTGAGAGAACAGTGAATTATGGCCCTAGAATTATTATTCACACTCCAATCTTCATGGCGATACCTAACATGTGTGGCGCAATCGTCGTTTACATACACGTGCATGCCCTTCCTGCGTGTTTCCATTCGCATGCACATGGTGGGGGCAATGTGGTTTTTAAATTTTATTTTTATTTCATTATTTTTTACTTTTTTATCACTTTTTAATTTATTTTTTCCCACCTAATGTATTGCTGTCACACAGGAGCTAACAAGCTCCTATGTGACAACATTTGCAGGTGACAGGTTGTCTTCATGGACAGATGTCTCCCCTGGCCTCCAATACAGGGGATTGAGCACAGCATCGATCTCCTGTGTAACCGGGGTTGTGAGCACAAAGCTTCATGACTCAATGATCACAAAACAGACCAGGGAACGGCCGTGGCCCCAGGTCCTCCAGGGGAGCAGGGGAACCTGAAAACCACAGGGGCTTGTATATACATTTACGTTGGTCTAGCTTGACACAATGTAAATATATATTACCTGTCAGGTCCACAGGGATCCTGTGATAAACCGTAGTAGCCGCAGCTACTACAGTGTATTACAGTGTCTTCCAGGTCCTTCTACAACCGCTGTGCTGACCATTCAGGGGACACCTATTATTTTTCTAAATGAATACTAGGAGTTCTTTTATTAGACAAGTGGCGGTACCATGATGTCATTGCCTCTCGCCCAATCAGAGAATGCCTTTTGAGAAGATTTTCTCGATTGGTCGTTAAGGGCCCATGGCCATCAATGCATTACAGTAATGCCTGTTATGCTGCAATGCACAGCAACAAAGCACACATGAGTGTAGTGCATTGCAGTGACATTTATTTTGAGTGCTTTTATAAAGTAAAAGGATGAGAGCAGATGAATGACAGTTGACATCCAGCGCATTTAGGGATCATTCTATATCAGGGCTATTTTATAACAGAAACAGGTTTTATATAGCAGTTCTCTTAGTTACACAAATAAATAGGGGAGCAATCCAGAGCAAAGATGTACATTTTCCCCAAGACAAGAGGTAGGCAGCATCTCTTTAACAGGACACACAAAGTACTCCAAGATCATTTAAAGGAGTGTGAGGGCAGGTTATAACTTCTGTTAAATGTGTATTCTAGTGCCCTCTGGTTCCCCCTTTTGAGTAGATTCCCTTTTCTCTTTCAAAGATTTTATTAGTTTTATATTATAAAACATCCATATACAAACATTGGCATCGATATTCTACAAGGATAAACATGATCAATTCCTTCTTGCTGACCCTCCCCGCCATATCGTCACTATCAGAACAACCCAACCAAATCATCTAAACAGCACAGAATAAACAACAGCACAAGTCAAAACAAAATAATTAAACAAAAATCGAAACAAAATAAAACCAAACAAACAAAAAAAAAAAAAACCTAAAGACACTTAAATCATATCTATTACAGAAAGTCACGCTTTCAGCGGAAAGTGATGGATGCGCATAGGCCATCCAGGGTTCCCAAATCCTCAAAACATTTTTGTTAGAGTCTAATAAAATACTAGTCAATTTTTCATTAATAAAAAAGGAGTCCATTCTTTTTTTACGTCTCTAAAAAGCACGTATGGTTTCTTCCAGGCCTGGGCAATGGCCTATTTGGCCGCCAACATAACATAAATCACCAGTTTATGTTGTAAGTTGGTAAAGGAAGAGGATTTAAAATGTAATAGGGCTACCCATGGGTCTCTTTCCACATTGACCAAGAAGAGGTCCCCAATCAGCTGAAATTCTTTCGACCAAAACCTATCCAGTTTTGGGCAGGTCCACCAGGTGTGAATAACATCTCCCCTGGAGGCACATCCTCGGAAACAAAGATCCGAGTGTGAGTGGAGATGAGCCAACCTTGAGGGCACCAAATACCATCCGGATAAAGTTTTAAATGCAGTTTCTAAAGATATTACATTTATAGAACAAGTAGCTATTGATTGCCAGGTTGTCTAGTCATTCCAAGCTCCCTTTCCCAATTGTGTACATATTTATGATTATCGGGCGTCGATAACCTATTTAATTGGGAGTAGAGTATTGAAATAAGTTTAGGGGTTGTAGATTCCCTTTTCAATTTCACTTGTGCTTGCCAGGCAAGATAAACCCATTATCATACCTCATTCTATCTAAAACCCCCAAAATTATTTTTGGCTGCACTTGGTCTTTTTTGCTGATAATAATATTCTTCCTTTCTTTTTAATTACAGGAGCATCAAGTGCGAGCATTACACATCCTGTGCCACAAAACATACCTGCTGTAGACCCATCACTGTACAATACACCAAAACAAGGTAGGGTTAAAGTATAGCATGCAATATATAATTTGGGTTTACATTGTGTTATTGATGCTCTATTACAGAGTTTGCAGTAAATTGTGCAAAATTCCCACGCAGACATTAGATAATAGAAATACAATTAGCATGATTAAAGCGTGTTTGTAACCTTATATAAAAAGGGATAAAAGTGAAAGCTGAGGAAGTGTGATGGGGTATATTCAGACTGATAGAGTGGGTAATACAGACTGGTTATGGATAAAGAAAAGAAGAAAGTATAGAAATTAGTTTTTATGGCACAGATAAAAGTTTCCAGGTATTGAGGGTCGTTAATTCACAGGTATCATGTAACAGAAATATTGGACATAATTTCAAATAGGTATTAGATAATTAGGGTAGAAAAAAGACAGGAACATGATCATCAGGCAGTCTGTGAGTAAAGCAGTGGTCAGGGCAAGTGGAACTTAGGATGTGGTCACAGGTGACCGCATAAAATCTGAGATATTAAAATGTTGTTGACATGCATATCTCGAAGCCAGACTGGGGACAGATCCAGACCAATAGACATAATCACAGTTGAGAACTAGAAAGCCACAAAGCGTTAGAAACAGTTTTAGTCTTTAAGGCCCCATTCGCATTTGCGTTTGGGACAGTCTCATGAATACCTCTGGGAGACTCAGCTGTGTTTATGTAAACAGCAGCTTATTCACATCTAATCGGGCATACAGCCATTACCTGCGGTTAATCACCCACATTCAATTGCTGCATGTCCGATCACATGCGAACGCCTGCGGATGATGTCAGCTTCTCATTGCTTTGTATAGCATTACTCACAAGCAGTTGTTCACAGAAACAGAGCTGGGTCTCATGGAGCAATTCTTGAGACTGCTGCAAATGCAAGTGTGAATGGGGCGACTAGGTCCACTGAGCAGAATTTATTTTTGGTAATATTCAAACATTTTGCTATGTGGCACGAGTGTGTATAAAAAGATTGTAAAAAGATTGTAACCGCATAAATTTATAGCCTTTGTAGCAGGGTGCACATGGGAAGGCTTTCAATATAAAACACAAAAAAGTCCCCAGCACAGCTGCCAGCTAGCCTGCAACAAAACAAATTACCCTGTCAACAGTATGCGTTAAAATCAGAGGTTTTAGTTGCACAAACCTTTGGCCAAAAATATGTAGAAGCCACACCGCCCCGTCAAGGCACCTCTGTAAAGTGTGGTCCTAACTATTTATATGAGTCTCCAAGTGGGAGCATATTAATGCATTCGATAGATTAAATGCAGGTGTACCAGGAGGTAGCCTAGTCCTGCAGGGACCCACATCAAAAATATTCAAACTAATAAAAGATGGTAACCGCATAAATTTATAACCAGCCTTTGTAGCAGGGTGCACATGGGAAGGCACGAGTGTGTGTCTGCTAATAGTGTAGCTTGCTGAAGGGGAAATGCTGTACCCAGTTCTGCAGCTGGCATATGGTAGCCTCCTGCCCAAGGAAGGGTGGTTGTTTATAATGTTGTAGAAATGAATATACGCTTCCTGCGCATAGAAATCCGCTGCGTGAAAAAAGCACAGTTCTCTGCTCTCCCTGTATAATTCCTTCGATTTTGCTCGGCAGTCCCAATGAAACACACACAGCTGTTGTCACGTTGGATCCTCAGTCTCTTTCCTCCTGAATGGAGTACAATCCTTTTATTTACAGCAGACAAAAGGAATGACAGGAAGTGATGGCCCCAACAGCCAATCGCTTCCTCAAAACATCAACATAACACAGAGCCAGCCAATGAGACGCATTTATATACAATAGAAAGGGGGAGTGTATGCTCATGCATGTGAAGCACCGTGCGCAGTTTTCACCTGCCAGTTCATGTTTCACGTGCACATTTGTTAACAATGGAAAACCATGTGCAATGGATTTCCCGCCAAAACACTTACACAAAGGAAGCAGCGTGCTGACTGTGGACGCTGCCTCAACCAGACCCGCGCACATAATCTCCCGTTACCACTGGAGCGTACTTTATCCAGCATTGCTCAGTGAGCAATGCCCAATAGAAGTTATACTACGGTTCTCGTGAATGCAAGCTTATCTGCAGGGACAACGCCATATTATTTCCAGTGCGTTGATCAGACACACCAAAAAGATATGAACTCATTGTCCTTTCATAATGTATCTAAAATGATACCGTGTCCCCAAAGCAAATGCATCCACGCCAAGCAAATAAATCCCCGCATTGCGCAGGGGCCCTCACCGGCGTCCATACACTCGCCAAGAGGACACTGCTCCGCAACGCACATCAATCTCCCCCGGCCAACAGCCCAGCGCATAGCACATGGACCATTCGCTGGCGGAGACCTCTGCGCACTGCGACCTTGTCTCCACATCCACAGGAAGATATCTACTCCAATAGTTTACCCCCAGTGCTGATTAATCTGGGCCATGCTCCACAGAATATAGCCCAGCAATCCTGACACTGAGAGACATAATGACAATATTACAATATACTAAAAGCACATCCTAATAAAATTTCCACAACAAAAATATGCCTAGAATAGGTTCCAGTCTTCGTTGGTAAGAGGAGAACACAAGCAAACAGCTAAATACATACAGTACATGGGACTTTTAAGAGTCAAATGATTTGAAATTCTGTACAAGCATTCTATCAATGTACACATCTGTGACACATTGCATAGCCGTGCGGATGACACACTAATTCAACAATGCAGTTGTCTATGTTACCTTTCCATTTCCTGCCTTCTGATGAAACAATATAACCATCTCACTCTGTCCAGTTAGCAGGAAAGTAATCCTGGATGCAATAATCAGAACCAGAAAATAGCAGTGAGATCTTGCTCGCTGTGCAGTATAGAAGAGGTGTGTGTATCACAAGCGAAATAAAATTGATCATCCTTTGGCAGATGAAACAGAGTTAACATATGCAGTATTTGTATTTTAACTGTGTATTTAACTTTGTCTGGAGTTCCACTTTAATACAAACATTCTGAAATCTTGAAAGTGCATATCAGTGCCAATTCAAAGATTGCACACTTCATTCAGATATTGTGTGTTCACTGGCTGCACCCTGTCGGTGTAAACAATGAGACTTCAATTTCTGCCATGTGACCTGCACCATGGGGCTTCCAATGAAACCATTTAATATAGCTCTTTTAATGTATGTGTGTCAGCAGCAGAATGAAATGTTAAGCTTTGTTTCTTGATCATTGATAGCCATGTCTGGTAGATTTAGAAAGCAGTAAACCTAATGTACTACCAAATTTTAAGTACAAGTACGAGTCTGTTGAAAACGTCTGTACTCTTATTAGTACTGATGGGCACATTCCTAACCTGGGCAAGCTGTCCTAACAATGAATACTTTCTTGCTTGCCTGAGAGTCTGTATGGGGAACTTTAATACAGTAAGAGAGGTTCCTTTTCCCCTTGTGACTCTAATGTGGCTATACCTGCTCTTTCAAAGTTTATCTGTAGGCAACCCGTTACATGTGTGATTGAAATACATATATGGAAGCTGTTTTACCTGTCAGAGAATTTGTACTGTCCATCCAGCCCTGGCAGTGCACAGCCAGCCTGGTGACCTGCCTTTTTTCTTCTACAGTTAGAAGAAAAAAGTCAGCCACTAATAACAGCTATCCATTTACAGGGGACCATCAGGGGGACCCTTCTGTTATAAGTTTATGGCCACTAAAGTCACCATAAGCTTATTTAAGAAGGGTGAAAACCACATATGGCATACTGAGCTGGCCAGCTGGAAGCAGTTGTGTACCGTCGTATGCCTTACATTGGTGGCAGGGAAAGGGTTAAAGCAGATCTACTTACCTTATGGCCACTTCCGTTGGCTCCCTTGGAGCTGCTACACCAGCCCCCCGCAGCCTCTTCTTCACTGGATTCTGGTGGTTTAAAGATGGCTGACGTCACCATGTTTAATGCAGGTTCCATAGACCTGTATTAGAGGTGAGGAGGCCAAGGGACATGTCACCAGCTTGAGCGCAGGGTGGAGAAGAGGAGAGCACTGTTGGACAGGGGAGCTGGGTTCAGGTAAGGACATGTGCTTTACTCCAACCCCCAGACAAAAATGAGCACTTAAGCCATGCAGTGCGGGGGTAGCCCCACTGCAACGGGAACTTTTTTGTTTACCCTTAGATGGACTTTAAAGTGTCTTGTGGATAAAATCTATTCAGGTCAACTATATCCAACACAATGATTTTAGAAAAACCTAATTTTTGATATATTCAGGTCCATGCTTCTGAGCTTGATGAAAGTAAGTTGTAAGTGAGATAGGCTGCTTACTAGATGATCAGTCCCAGTCGTGGCACTCTCCACTCCCTTGGTATTTCACTAGATGTGCAGCACTCCTGGCGAGTATCTCATTAAAGCTGAAATGCTTACTAAGGACAGTGCTGATCAGTACTGTAATGTTACCTTAATCTCTAAGCAGACTTCTGGGAAAACCAGGGGGCTGACTTTGAAAGCAGCAGGAATGACAATTCTGGGAAGTTTTTCTACAAACAAAGTACTGTTTCATAGCTGCCAGGAACATCATTGACAGCTGTCAATCCCGCAGCTGGGTGGATCCAGACAGTATTGTCTGGATCCTGGATCTGACCCTATAGTTCTCCTTTAAAGAATATACATAGCCTTAACAATCAGCAACCAAGCTTTAACACAAGCGTTTTATTTTTTGTGCCAGACTCACTTTGGGGCCAGATTCACATCTGGGCGATCTGTGACCACGTGACAATCGTGCACAAAACCGTGCGGATGGTCACGCAGTCACGGAATCGCACACCACCGTCGATCACGCTGACGGTGCCATTATTCTCTAATGCCACCCCAGGCAGATTGCGCGTTTTCTTGCCACAATACTGCTCATGCAATCGCGCACGTTAGTGGTTTAAGAAAACTGTGCGGTGCGTGTCGCCAAAAAAGGTACATTGCCACGTGGATGTAACCCCATTGAAATCAGTGGGGCCGCGTGGAAATCGCTGTGTGCACCCACACAC